AAATTCGGTACGATGTTAAAAAACTAAAACGTTCACACGAATTTAAAGGGCACAGAGCGAAGCAGAGCGAGGAAAGGAAATAAAGGGAAGGGAAAATCTACGGACTCAACAATTTTAGATCAAGAAATAAGAATGCGCGAAATTCTGCAAATGAATTCAGCAAACTGCAGATTTCAAAAATTAACAACCCTTGCAGTACTTCTGTTGCGAAAGGCAGCGATATTCGAAACTACTACTAAAAGAAACATGCTAATCAGAGAAGAAAAGCTGCTGATGACACCTACTTCCAAACAATTCTCAGAAAAAAACATGATCGTGACTACATCCTCGGACAATATCTGCTACAAAAAATTGAAAAAATTCCAAAATTGAGGTTAATGCCCAGCTTAATGCGCCTCGCAGCAATTCTACGCTGTAAAAAAGTTGAGACCCTATAAAAAGACCTTAGAAGAGATACGGTTCTTCCAAAACTTGGAATAAAAACATCCACTGCACATTAAGGGAAAAGAGGGTTCTTCTTGCAGTCCAATAAAATGTTCGGTAATATGCGTAAAATCAACTAACCAAATCGGATAATAGCAATATAACGATCCGAGAATGCTCCTGACGGCAAACGAACAGAATATAATCCTCAGAACGAATACAACGAATATGACCGCGCAGCTCGCCGGAGTCAAAAACCGATGTTACAGGGAATAATTGATGCGGCAACGAATTTTATTGTTCCGTGATAAAAATAACGAAAGATAGCAGCATTTCAAACAGTACCAGCAAAACAGTTCCGTTCACTGCTGCAAAAGATTTTCATCGAAAATGAAAAAAAGAGACTGACAACGTACATCACACCATACCAATTTTGCACGTTTTTTACAATCTTTCGCAGAAATTGCATTGTGTTTCCTGTTTCAGTCATGTGCATATAAGGCACGCGAATCCTCCCAACTTCAACAAAACGCACGTAAAATTTGATGAAATTTTCTTCTCCAGAAATTAAAATCTCATTCTGTGCACGAAAAAAAAAAATTATCGTAAAAAACGTACTTGCAAATAATTTGCCTGATTGTGCTTGAACCTTGAGATGCCCTGATCTGCTACTTTGACTCGAGAATTATAGTCTCCATCATACAGCCCGTTAAGCGCGGTAAATAGCCCCAATTACGCATTAAAAAATCATCTAAATGGTATTGATTTTCCAAAAAGTATTAAATTCTGTAAAAATCCACCAGCAAATGCGCCAAAAATAGGTGGAACATGTCAGATTATGCTAAAAACTAAGCCGATCTTTGCCCAGCACACATGCCACACGGGATGGAAAAAGAAAGAACTGCAAATAACAGGAATCGGGGCCAATTTTAGTCAGTGAGCGGATTATGTCGCTCACCACTGAAAAGCGCGTACGTCACTAATTTGACAAATATGCCCGTT